ATTTCATCTGCCATCTATCTGTCCATTTTACCAACCTGTCCTTTTTGTACTTTAAAGTTCTAAACTATGACCCTCGCAGTTCGCAATATTTCCATGTTTTGTCATACATAAATTTTTAAATTGTACCATCTGCACCAAGGTCTAGGTCATTAATATCTTTGGAAAATTAAAGCTCCCAATATTGATCCCCTGGGGAGCTCCATTACAGATCTTCATGTAGTCTGATTTTAAAAAAAAAATCCATCATTGAGTCAGAGTTATACAGCACCGAAACAGACCCTGTGGTCGAACTGGTCTGTGCCAACCAGATATCCTAAACTGATCTAGTCCCATTTGCCTGAATTTGGCCCATATCCCTCTAAACCTTTGCTATTCATGTACCTGTCCAGATGCCTTTTAAATGTTGTAATTGTACCCATCTCCACCATCTCCTCTGGCAGCTTATTCTATATGCGCACCACCCTCTCAGGTCCCTTTTAACATCTTTCCTCTCTCACTTTAAATCTATGCCCTCTACCTTTGGAATCCCTTAGCCTCATGATTGTATAAATCTTTATAAAGTCATCCCTCAGCCTCTGACGTGAGGGGGAAAAAGCCCTGGCCTATTCAGCCTCTTCCTATAATTCAAACCTTCCATTCCCAGTAACATCCTTGAAAACCTTTTCTGAACCCTTTCAAGTTTAACAACATCTCTCCTATTAACCACCACTCTTTGTTTTCTGTTGCTCAACCAGTTCCATATCCATGTTACTTTTTTTTTTGTTCCATGAAGAACTACAACTTTGCTCACAGTCTGTTTGGCACTGTATCCAACATCTTTTGGATGTCCATGTATACCACATCAATAGCATGACACTCATCAAATGTCTCTTCAAAAAAAATCTCAAGTTAGTTAGAATCAAAGAAGGTTTATGGCCCAGAAAGAGGTAACTTGGTCTATTGTGTTTGTGCTTAACTTAAACTGAGCTATTCAAGCTTATCCCATTTTCCACTGTTTGATCTATAGCTCTGTTAATTACTTCAGGTGCATGTCCAGCGACCTTTTCCAAGATTTCTGTCCTGACTGGCAGTAAGTTCTAGGATCTTACAATTCTTCGAGTGAAAAACATGTTTAATCATCTTTCCCCAATCTTTCCACTAATCACTGTAAAACTATGCCCTCTCAACACTGACCTATATGCTTACCAGACTGATTCCTGGGATGGCAGGACTGACATATGAGGAGATGTTGAATCGGTTAGGATTCTGTCTGCTGGAGTTCAGAAAAATGAAGTGGGATCTCAAAGAAACCTACAAAAGTTTAACAGGACCAGACAGGGTAGATGCAGGAACAATGTTCCTGGTTGGTCAACCTGGGATCGCAGTCGAAAGGCATGGGGTAAATCATTAGGACTGAGATGAGAAGAATTTTTGTTTGGCTAGAGTGGTGAACCCATAGAATTCTTTGACTCAGAAAACAGTTGAGGCCAAAACATAGTACAATTTCAAGAAAGGGTTGGTTATAGCACTTGTAGCTAAAAGGTTTAAAGGAGTGGCGGGGAAGCAAGAACAGGCTGTGGAGTTGGATGATCATGATCAAGAATGACAGAGCAGGCTTGAAGGGGTGAATGGCCTACTCTTGCTCCTGTGTGTTTATTAAGTAAATAGACCCTTACCACCCACTGTACCGCTCCACCCCTCAATTTTGTACATCTCAATCAAATCTCTCCTCAGCCTCCTCTGTTCCAAGAACAACCCCAGTGTGTACAATCTCAACTTAGAGCTGCAGTCTAAATCTCTATAACAATGTCAGTTCTGAGGAAGGGTCACTGGAACTGAAATGTTAACTCTGATTTCTCTTCACAGATACTGCCAGACCAGCTGAGCTTTTCCAGCAACTTCTGTTTCTGTTACTGTTATACAGAGTCCCCAGTTCTTTCAGCTTTTACTTGCTATAATGGTAACAACCAGGATGTCAATAGTGTGAATTCAATGATGGTAATGTCATTGAATGTCAAGGGTTGATGGTTAAATTCTTGCTTGTTGAAAGTGATCACGCATGCTCTTGGTGAGAATGTGACTTGCCACTTGCCACTTGTCAGCCTGGATGTTGTCTGGTGTGCTGCATTCAGATGCAGACTGCTTCAGTATCCAAGTTACAAATATTGCTGAAAATTGTGCAATTGTCACTGAACGTTCCCAGTTCTGACTTCAGGGTGGGCAGAATGTCATTGAAACAGCTGAAGATAGTTGAATTTAGGACAGAACCTTGGGGAGCTGCCTATGACCCTATTAATCAGAAAACGACTAATCTCAGAAGCTAAAACAGAATTTGCTGGAAAAGCTCAGCAGGTCTGGCAGCATTTGTGAAGAGAAATCAGAGTTAACGTTTCAGGTTGAGTGACCCCTCCATCAGAACTGATGGTAGGATCAAAGGGGCTAAAAAGCCTATTTCTCCTTCCAACTCCATTTTAATTTAGTCCTCTCCCTTTTCCCCTACCTTTCCTCGCTGGTTGCACTGCCTGCTTTTACGTTTTTCATTCAATTAGAGATATGGGTGGAGAAAATTTTTTTGAAAAAGTAATATGTAATTTGGTGGTGGTTTTAAAAGTAAGATTACCCTGATGGACCCCTGCAGATGTCCTGGAACCTGAGATGATTGACCTCTAACCTCCCCCCACTTTGTGCTAAGTATAACTCCAACCAGCCAGAATTTACCCACTGGCTTCCATTGACTCAAGTTTTGCTAAAGCTCTTTGATGCCACATTTGGTCAAATGCTGTTTTGTCCTCTAATCTTGTGTTTGGAGTTCAGTTCTTTTGTCATTTTTGAACGAAGCTCTAATGAAGGCAGGAGCCAAGTGAC